ATACTAATTAAAAATCTAATACTTTTATGTCAGATAATTTTTTAATTTTTCCTTATAATTATTATTAGCATAAAATATCTCTACTACATATGTTTAATTATAGGTAAAATATTCTATATTCTTAACCTTTTCTATTTACAAAAAAAATAACATTATTTTTCATTCTCAATCAAAGCTTATTTTAAAAATCATAAAATTATTATATATAAATCATTTAAATTTTATAGAATAATACTATAACTTACTAAAGTTTTTATAAATTTTATTATTTTTGTGTAATATATTAAAAATAATAATAAAAATTTGATTATAAAAAAAATACAAAAGAGAAAAATCATCTAGAAGTTAGAATAATAATAATTTAAGGGATATATCTCTATAAAAATATAAGAATAGATTATAAGAAATAAAACCTATATATATTTCACTATTAAAAAATATATACTATTTATAAAAATAATATAATCATAAATTTCTCAAAAGTAAATGATAATTATGAGTTCATATGTCAAATTTTTCAAATCAATTTTTGAATATGTTTCTGATTCTCATTAAAGTACATATTATATAAGAAATAATACTCTATAAATTATCTGTGTGATTATTACTTATACAACAAAATAATTTCATATATATAAAGCATTTTATTTTCAAAAAAATATTTTAATTTTTTTTCTGACTCTTGATCAAGATTTTTAGGATGATAGTCCATACTGATTGCTAACCTGATAGGTTTTTTTAGCAAATTAATAATAAGTATAATTATATTAAGGATATAAATAATAAAAATTCAATACTAATAAATATAATAGAGAATCTAAAAGATAAATTAAAGGAATCAAAGAAGAATACAAAATATAAGTAATACAAGATACTTTTTAAAATATTTAAATATAACTTTTAAAGTAAATTACTATGATTTTGATTTTACAAATATAATAGAAAAATCAGAAAATGAATTGATAGCAATACTAGTAAAAAAGAAAGATTCAAAAGAACAAGAGATTAACAATTATTTATAAAATTTTAATGAAACAGATTGAAGTTTCATTGATAACTTAGCAACAAATGTAACTAAAGATTTTAAAAGAAAATTCAGATATTTGAAAATATTTTAGGTAAATAAATTTCTAATACAGATGAAATAAATCTTATAGATTTTAATTTTAATTATGAAATATTGTAAAATGAGATTAAAGGTTTAAATAATTTTAATGAATATTTAATAAATTATATTGATAATTATAAAGAGCATAACTCTAATCTAAATATACTACTATAACTAAAATAATTTGTATATTAAGATAAAATGAGTCAGATAATGTTAAAATTTTGATTTGAACTTTCATTATCAATTATAATTTAAACAGATTGAGTTCATGATAATTCACTATAACTGATATAATTTCAAAAAGAAAAAGCATCATATATAGACCAGTAATAATAGATTAAAATAAGATTAATATGATTATTTAAAAAAAAATAAAAATGTGTATTGCTTAATAAAGTTTCATTAAAAATATTATGAATAAAAATCATAAAAATAATGATATAAAGTCACAAATAAACATTTAAAAAAATAAAAATAAAACAAACAAACTATAGCAGTATATTAAATAATATAATTTATTAATTTATTTATTTTTATTTAAGATTTTTTTTTTTAAAGTTACAGTATCTGGTACTAAAAAACTATTAGCGGATAGTACTATTAAGGTGTAAATCTCAACTACCTCTAGACCCCTCTAAGTCATAACTAGATAAATTAGTTTTAGCCAGAACTTGCCCTATGATACTGGTCTGAAGATTGCCACCTAGGTCAACATTCTCAAGAGCTAGCTCTCAGGGTCCCTAGACCTCAGAACTACTGTTAAATTTGAATAAAGGGATCACTTCAGCTACAGGTACTTTTGTCAGATTTTTCCTGTACTTACTAATACTATATTTAGATTACTATTACCTCTGTTCAGTATCAGGGTATTTTACACTTAATCAGAAAGGCTTAAATATTATTTATCTTATAGAATCTCAGAAAGGTAAGTGGCTGTCATATCTATATCATCAAATTCATCTGAAAATTAAACTTGGCCTCTATTCCTAGTAATAGTTCGATTAAATAGTGCTATGGTAGTGTAATGTAATTTATTATTATCATAGCCATCTGTAGGTAGTACTCAATCTATTAATTACTAGTTAACTACTTTCTTACTTATGTAAGGGCTTCTAAAATTAAAGATATGAGATAGTACCCATTATAGGCCTATCAGTGAAGGCTAAGTTTCTATCAATTTCTAGCTTCATTTATATCCACTTATTTTTTAAATGCAGTATTTAGATATGATTAATACTAATCAATAAATTAATCAACTAGTTTCTAATACATATTAGTATATACGCCTACATATTTAGTTACATATGAAATTCTTATAAAAATCATCTAGTTTTATGTCTCAGCTAAAACCTGAACCTGTAGCTATTGCAGTGTAACCTACAATAAGAGCTTATTTGTTACCAACTGAACTAGTGACACTAATCACTTTTATTTTTATTTAAGAATAACATAGGCTTCATTTATATAAAATTATATAATTAAATATCATTTCAAGCAAAAAATGTATTATTTAGCTATAATATAGTTATTAAGACCTTTTTTTTTATTATTTTGTATATACAGTTAACTTTATTATAACAAACTCTATATTCTAGATCTCAACTTTGCTATAAGGCTATAGTGAAAATTTTAAGAGATTTGATTGACCAATTCACTATAACAAGAGTATTTTTATTATATTTATTTAAAAAATTTGTTATATCAAGAATTCGCTATATCAAAAATTAACTGTAATATATATAATAATTTTTTTTTTAGTACTATAATAATTTATATTTTATTGATTTTCATTTTTTTTCATAATTTTTTTTTTTGTTAAAATAAAATTACATTTTAAATACAAAAAAAAAAAAAAATTGAAAATATTTTAGTAAAAGGATTTTTTTCTAATTCATTTTAATTATAGTAGTTTTAAATAGTCAAAAAAATTTACAATCACAAATATTTATTAGTATAAAAAAAAAAAGGTAGAACATTATAATATAATCTATTTATCTGATTTTATTATTATTATATCTTCTATTATTATAATTAAAAATCAAAATTTTGTTATTATTTTATAATTCTATTTACTAATACTAATACTAATACTACGCTTTAAATAATTAATATATTGTATTCTTTTAAAAATAAGCACTCCCTAAAAATAAGCATTATTTTATTTTTTTAGTATCCAAAAATAAACAGTATTACATTTTTTAGTATCTGAAAATAAAATAAATGCTAAAATAAAGCTGATTTATTAAATATTTTATAAATTTCAATGTTTTTTATTTATTTTATTTAAAAGCATTCTTTATTATCAATATTTTTTTCATCATTATTAATGATTACCAACACCATCAATACTACTATTATCATCATTATCGTTCACTATTAATACATCCAGAATTATCACTAAATTATATCTACTTTTGTAAAACTTATTTTATAAATTCTTTATATGACTCCTAAAAGAAATGTATTAGAAATATAAAGCATTTATCATTTTTACATAATTTCTGTAATTGAAAATTTAACAATTTTATTAATACTAAAAATTAAGCATCTCTATAACAAAAAAGGATGCTTAATTTTGGAGGCATATAGTAATTAAATAACTTTATTTTATTATTCACAATTTAATTAGATTTAGAAAATTTTAAGTTATTAAAATTTGTAATATCATAGATTCTATCATGTGACTATTTGTTATATCTCTATTTTTTATTTTGGGATGGTGATTTCTTATTTATCAGCTATTATTTTCATAGAAACTAGGCTAAAAATTGTAATTCAACCCCCAATTTAGAAATTTAATGCGATCAAAAATATATAAAAATTTAATAAGCATTTTTACATATTTTCTATTTTCTCACAACTCTCTCAAGTTTTAAAAAAAAAAAAGAAATATTTTAGAAAGAAATACTGGTACTAGTCTCTCATATAATATAATAAAAATAAAAAAAAATGTTTTTATCGCCTATCCATTTTTTATTGGCTTTTTCTTTATATGTCATAAAGTAAGTATTTTCTTATTTTATAATCTAACGATGATGTCAAATCATGCATGGTCTTTACATGCTTTCATTAGTTTGAAGAGTTGATAATACATATATAAGGATTGTTTGTAGCTACTAAATGCTTTATTGTATTAAAAGACCTCTTCTATTTTTCCTTACAGAGACAAATTAACCTTTGGGTAATTATAGAATGCTAAAATACTTATTAAGTTTACCTATTTAGTTTACTAATTTTTTTTATATTTTTTTTAGTGTAAACAAAATTCCTCACTTGCACAAAGAATTAAACCAGGCTGTCTCCTATTCTTTCTTTTTGTATATGTTATAAGAATGAGTAAACTATGCTAAAATATAAGTATTTTCTCATTCTACAATCTAACGATAATGTCAAACTGTTTCTTTATCAAAGCCTCCTTCTGGATTTATATGGCCTTTACATGCTTTCATTAGTTTAGAGAGTTGATGATATATATATGAGAATTGTTCGTGACTACTAAATACTCTTATTGTATTAAAAGGTCTCTTCTATTTTCCTTTGTGAAGACAAATCAACCTTTGGGTAGTTATAGCAATGCCAAATATTTATTAAGTTTACCTATTCAGTTTACTGATTTTTTTTCACTTCTTTTTTTAGTGTAAACATTCATCACTTGCTGATAAAAAGATCTGCAAAAAATTCTACAATTGCGATGAAGATACTAATAATGATGTATCATATTTATTTAATAGACTCTTTAATAATATTTGAAAAATAGATTTTAATAACTTTGTGTTATAATCAGTTATTTTTATTTGTATAACCAAAAGTCTTTTATCAATAAATTTTCAAAAAAAATACAAAACAATTTCTCATTATCCATTAAAATTTATTCACTTTTTCTTGTAACATGCTTAAGAACAAAAACCATTATGTGAACTTTGAGGAACATTTAAAATGTATTTAAAAATTTTTTAAAAAATAAAATAAACTGTTATTAAATTTGAATCAGAAATTTATTTAAATATCAACTAATAAAATAACTTTAGTCATTACATTTTTAATTTCTTTCTAAGTAATGTCAGTTTCGATATTTTCAAATAAAATTTAATTGCAAAGAACTTTTACTTAACATTTATATATATTAGATTTATATTTTGTTAACCTTCCTGAAAATATAAAGAGTATATGCTCGAAAGGAGAAGGATTTATAGGTTTGTCTTTTTTTTAAAAAAAAATTTTTGATACAATTTTAATACTACTTTATGTTATAGAACTCGTAGGACAACATTTAAAAATTTTAAAATAACTTTACCCTCTAAAGTTGAAATAAGCAATGATATAAACAGTAACGATGAAGATGAAAATGAAGATAATGAGCAAATAGGTAAGATTCTAATTTCATTATGATTAAATTGCATTTATTAGTTAAATTTCATTAAGATTTATATTATTTTATGAATAAAAGATTCAACACTGACATTTAAAAATTCAAATAATTAGGATCTTATACAAGCTTCTATCAATTCTATCAATTTACCTATTAGTCCTTCAAGTTTAGCAATAGATATTGATACTCTTAATGTGGTAAAATTGTTGAAATCATGTCTTCAAAGAAATATATTGATAATAACGACGAGCAATTAGGTAAGATTTATTGAATAAATTTATCTATAGAGGGTGATCATAGATACTTGAACGATAAGTATTTTTGTTTATTCACTTTGTTTATATGTTTACATATATTTTTAATTTAAGCATTTGTTTGGGATATAAATAGATATCAATCACAATAATAACAAATAATTTTCTTTTGAACAAAAATGTTTAAAATAAAGAATTAAATACTAAACAATATGAAGCAATTCTTTACGATCACAAACAAGGTAATTCATATTAAAAAATTGCTGATATAATTTAATGTAATAAAATAACAGTTTATGATGTAATAAAATGTTTTAAAGAAACTAGTTTTGCAATATTGAAAAAACGTTGTAGCCTGAAGCCACTTTTTAATTCAAATGCACAATCTTCACTCAAAAAGATTATTACACAAAATTCAAAGCATCATTGCCTTACCATTCAAAAAATTCAAGAATTATAAACTAAAAAAAAAAAAGTTTCAATTGTTACAATTTATTAGACTCTTAAAAAAGTCAGCTTATATTCATATGTTTCCTGCTCTAAACCATTAATTTCTGAAAATAATAAAAAAAAAATTGGCTTGGCAATTAGAATGATAAGATTGAACAATTGCAAAATGAAAGAAAATTGTATGATCTAATAATTAATATTTAGCTAATTTTCATAAAGTCGTAGCTTACGTGTATAGTGTATACCAGAAGAAGAATTTGACTCTTCTTGTTTAACTGCTACAGTAAAACACAGTTCCAATTGAATGTTTTGGGAATGCTTTTCGTGATATGGACTGGGATCTCTTGTTCCTCTTCGCGAATCTGTAACAGGACAAAGATATACAAAAGTATTATAAGGTATGTTATTCCTTCAATTTATAAATTAGTTTCTCGTAAATAAGGAATTTTTTAAAAAAATAATACTCCACCTCATTGAGCAAAGATTACTGCTAATGTTTGTAATACCTCTAAGATTTACATGCTACCCTGACTTGCACAAAGTTTTGATTTAAATTCTATTAAAAATCTTTGAAATGAAGTTGATAAGAAACTTTGTAACTTGCCTAATCAACTTAAAAATATGGAAGATTTAGAACATAAAGTAAAATATGCTTAGCATTCAATTCTATTTGAGTATATTTAAAATTTAGTTGAAAGTATGTCCTGTCGCATTCAAGTATGTATAGTAGCCAAAAGTGGTTTAACAAAGTATTAGTTTTTTATTTTTTTAATAAAATATATAGGAAATATTTGAAACAAATAAATTTTTTGCTTATTTTAAAAAAAAATTAATATAATAAATAAATTCAAATAGTTTAATTAATCATTCAAGTACCTGTAATCACCCTCTATAATATAATTGCATTTATATTGAATTTTTATTATGTTTAATTTTTATTATGTTTCATGAAAAAATATATCACAGGTTCCAAATAATCATTTACCTATTAGTCTTTACTCACTAGTACTTTAGACTCAATGGAGATTGATAATCTTAATGTTGGTAAAATTGTTGAAGTTCTTTCTTCAAAAATTTATATTAATGACAATGATAATGATGATAATAATGGATAATTAGATAAGATTTTTAATTGATTTAAACTATGTGTGTTAAAATTTTCTATTAAGCTTTATATTATTTTATAAATAGAGGTACCACTAAATACTAATATTGGTAATCTCATTAAAATTGTGTCTTCAAAGAATGATAACAATGAAGAACAAATAAGTAAAAATTAATATTTACTCTTAATTGTATTTGAATGTTAAATTCTTCATTGAGTTTTGTATCATTTTTAGATGCAACATCAAGAAATTATGTTAATAAACTTGTCAAAATTATGTTTTAGAAAATGATGAAAATGACGACAATGAGCAATACTTTAGAATTATTTTATTTATTTAATAATGATTTTACTTATGCATCTATTCAATATCATTAACTTATGCTGGCAGAACCTTTGTTTCTTTAAAAAATACCTATGATGATGACGTTAAGCAAATAGGTAAAAATTAAATCGAATTATATTTATATGTTAAATTTTATTAAGAATTGTTATTTTCATAAACAATGCAACGCCTGTCAAAATTATGTTATTGAAGAGAAAATATGATGACAATAACATTAAGCAAATAGGTAAGGCTTTATTGATTCAATTGAATTTATTTGTTGAACCTGTTATTTAAATATTATTCATTTTTATAAATAGATATAACATCAACAATAAAAAATCGTGATTTTGTGCAAGGCGAAATTGTTAATGCTATCAATGATATTATCACAGAGTTTCTGTTAGTAATTTTTTTATCTTTTGATGAATGTTATTTAGTGTAATTTAATATAGAAAATATAATATGTATCAGTAATTTTATATTTTAAATCTTAAAATTAATATATATAAATTTCAGAAAATATTATAAATAATTTATTAAATTTTTATAATAAATTAAATATTTAAATAAAAAACTTTTTAATTTTGCAAATAAACTAAATTTTTATTTTATTTTAAAAAAAAAATTTGATAATAAAATAATATCTTAACTATTATATTATTAATAAAAATAATATTCATTTAATAATAATAAATTTAATAATAATATTGATAAAATAATGTTAAATTTAATAAAGAATATAATGATAATATTTAAGTTTTATTTAATTTAATAAATACTTTAAATTAGTATTTTTTTAAATTTATATTAATTAAATTTAATCTGAATCTGATAAATTAGATTTGAATTAATTTTATCAAATTTAAATTATATTTAAATAATTTAAATCGATCGAAATATATTTGATTTATTAAATTTAGATCAATACAGATTAAATCTGTTAGATTTAAATTTTTATTTAAATTTAATTCAAATTAAAACTAAAATTTTTTTTTTAATGATTTTTTAGACTTTTTTAAAGTTAAAAAATTCAAAAAATGATTTTTTAAATTTCTTTTAAAGTTAATATTTATTTTTTAATAAAAAAAAGATTTTTTGAATTTTTTTTAAACTTAAAAAATTTATTTTTAATATAAAAAAAAATATTTAGTATTTTTTTAAAATTAAGAAAAACTTTTTTTAAATAAAGAAAATTTCAGATTTTTTTTAGAATTGAAATATTTTTTTTAATAAAATAAAATTAATTTTAAATATCTTTAAAGTTAAAAATTTTCTTTTTAATAAAAAAAAAAAAAATTAGTTTTAAATTTCTTTTTAAAATTAATATTTTTTTTTTAATAAAATAAGAATTTTTAATCTTTTTAAGCTAAAATAAAAAGAAATAATTTTAAAAGTTTCTTTTAATATAAAAAAAAAATTTTTAGCTTTTTTTACTAAAAAATTATTTTTTTAGATCTTTTAATAATAGTATTAATTTTTTAAAAAAATTATTATATAAATGATACATAATTTATAAAATATATCATATATAAAATTATTTAAAAAATAAATTTTATTAATAAAAAATAATAATAAATAAATCAATTTAAATAATATATTTTTATTATTTAAATAATTATATATTTTATTTTATTAAGTAGTATTATTAAATATAATAAAAATATATTTATTAAGCAATAGAAACTATTATTAAATCTGAAGCGAATTTAATTAAAAATTATATTAGTATTTGCTTTATTATTTATAACTTTTATATAATTATAATAAATAATTAATTATAATACAATTTTTATAATAAATTATAAAAATATGTATTTTATTAAAATTAGCATATAAAATTAAAGCAATTTTTTTAAAAAATTTAGTTAAATCTTATATAATATTTTAATCAAATGATTATAAAAATTTTAATATAATTATATATGATAATTAGTCAGAAAATATTAAACAAAAAATATCGAAATATCAAAATAGCTAAAATATATTTGAAAAATTTGCTAAAAATCAGATTTTAAGAATTTTTTTAATTAAAATTAAAATTTTATTATAATTTATCTAATATTATCAAAAACTAAAATATAATAAAAATTCAAATTTTATAAAAAATTCACAAAATCTGATTTTTTAACAATTTTTTTATATAATCATTTATTATATAGGGTCTTTGCAATAGAAAGGAAGGAAACTCCAAAAAAATTAAAATTTTAGTTTATAAGCCAAAAATGTTTTAAATACTATAATTTGTTCAGATTTATTATTAACTCATTTTTTATTTTTTTTTGAGTTTTCTCCCTTTCTATTGCAAAGGCCTCATATTTTAAATTAAATAATAATTATTCATATATATTATTTTTATAGAAAAAAATATATTTTTTCATTTTATTTTACTTTTTACATCATAATTTTAAATAGAATATATATAATTTATATAAAATAAGAGATAAATACTTTTATAATAGTTGTAATTTAAATAAAATTATATTAAAATTATAATAAGAAATAAAATGAAATTCTTTTAATATAACAAAAACTAAAACTGTCAAAACTATATTAAAAATATAAAAAAAAAATATGACAAAATTATTTTAAAAAGATTTTTAATAAATATTTTATTATATAATAAAAATCAATACTATTTAATATGTATTATTATATGTATAATATATTAAGCCAAAGATCCATAAAATTTTTAAAATAATTTTTTAAAATAAATTGAAAGATTTTGCTTAAATCAAATTTTTTTTTATGATATTTCATATAAAAAGAATATTATAGTCCCTGATGAAAAGAATGACAGACATATTTTTAAATAGTATATATAAACTTAAATTTTAAAATACAAAATTTTTATTTATTTAAAAGATTAATACTAATGTAATATTTTTATTATTTAATTAATATTTTGTGTGATCTTCTTCTACACTGATTTATGTTTTAATCCAGTTTGGCATGCTATCGAAGCATCTAAGTAAGCATTTCATAATGTAAATTGTCTTATTTCTGCTAGATTTTATTGAAAAAAACATCATAAGGATTATTTATTTTTTGCACTAATTCTTAATTTTTATCTTTATCTTTTCCTATAAAATTGCCTATATATTTTTGATAGGATTCAAAGTC